GCCGAGATGAGGGCGAGGCTTTCCTGTGTTCCGAGGCAGGATCGAAAACCAGTCTGGGAGGGATAGAAGGTGCCAAAGGATTCTAGGTGCCAGTCAACTCGTGCCAATACCATCCGCTCCATGACCTTACAGGTACATGAAGTTAGCGAGATGGGTCTGTAGTTACTGAGTGATCCCTTGTCTTTTCCGGGTTTTAGAATGGGAACGACAAGTGAATGCTTCCACTGCTCAGGGAGCTTTCCGGTGACCCAGATGTGGTTCACCCATTCGAGGAGCTGTTCTTTAGTGTTTTCTGGAAGGTTCTTAAGCATGGTCATGGTGATTTTATCCGGCCCGGGCGACGATCGGGTTTTTCCTTTGTGTAGCGCCCACTCGAGTTCTCCCCTCGTAAACGGTCGGTTCATGCCGGCGTCCGGGGCCAACATTTCTACGTCGTACAGGGAAGGGCAGTCGTTCACGTCTGGCTGTGGGAAAAAGAGATCCCCCGCCATTCCTGTGAGCTGTTCTTCCGTCTTATTCATCTTGAGAGCGAGTGTGAGCGTCGCTCCTTTTACCTTCTTCTTTCCAAGCAGATCCCGATTTGTAGCCCATAGCTTCGTAATCGAGGTTTTGTCGGAGAGCGAAGAGCTGTAGTCTAGCCATCGGCGTGTATCTAATTGTTGGGCGTATTCCTTGGCCTCCACCGTAGCTCTTGTTATGGCGTGTCTGCCTTGCGGAGTTTTGCGACCCTTTCGATACTTTTGTACCACCTGCAGCCGTTTAGCCCAGAGCCGTAATAGGTGGAGGTCGGGATTTGGAGCGTCTTCATTGACGTTCGTAGTAATCGTAGCTCCTTGCAGGGCGCTGTTTAGGAGGCTCTCGAAACTGGACCCTTCAAAGTTACCTTCTTCCAGCGTTGCCCTGAACTTGTCCCAGTGAATGGTTTTAGCCACTCTCCGCTTGGATTTGTGTTTGATCTTCTTTGTAGGTGAGAATTCAAAGCAGATTGGGAAGTGGTCGCTGCCCCAAGAGTCCGGAAGGCACTTCCACTTGTGGTGATATGTGTAGATGTTTGAGGTCCATGTAAGGTCTGGGGTGGTGTCCTTCTGCCTGGCGTCTCCCAGCCTTGTCTTGGTCCCGTGGTTATTGACTAGGTTGAGTCTGAAGATCTGCATCTCACCAAGCAGCTCTTCCGCTCTTGTCGATACGTGGTTGTATCCCCAAGCATGATGTTGGAGGTTGAAGACTCCACAATAGAGCTTTTTTTCTCTTGGGTACAGATTGTGCAGATGAGTGATCCAACCGTGGTTTCTTATTGGTGCCTTGCTTTTAAGAGGCCTGTAGTATGCGGATGTAAATACGATGTTCTGCTGCCGGACCGTTCTGCTCACTGCAACGATTTCTTGATTTTCATTACAATAGGGGGTTAGATCTACTTGGTGCTGGGGCCAGTCGCACCTTACATAGACGAGCGCTTTCCCTGGCGGGGAGGCAGATTTCCCCGGCCGTTTACTAGTTATGGACGGGCTTGAGTAGGTAGTGTAACCATTGAAGTCGATGCTTGTAGTATTAGTCTCCTGAAGCAGTAGTACATCAGGACGCTCGTCAGGCTTGTCCAACAGACGTACTCGGAGCTCGGCCGCCCGCTTGCGGAGCGCCTGGCAGTTCCATTGGAGCACCCTTATCATTAACGTTAAAAAAATATTCGCTGTAAGTGCCCTCATCTGACTGAGGGTGGACTTGTGGTGGTTGTTCTCTTCTTGCTGGGCTTGGACAATAGCCTTGAGCCTGTCTAGCTCGGCTTTGAAGTAGTTGCAGGTGTTGCGTAGTTCTTGGATCTCTGCCTGTGACGACGGTGATGGTGGTGGAGCGACGATGCCGTGTTTGACTCTGTCAGCCCACGAGGTGCCGCTGGGAGGGACCGGGGTCTTGACAGCCCCGGTCGCAGTCTCCTGCTGCTGCTGCTGTTGTTGTTGCTTATGTTGTTCTCAGAATTTTTTTACGTCTTCCCGTATTCGCTTGTTGGTCTCTTGCCATGTGGGGCATTTGCGGTCCGTTCCCAGGTGGCCCCTCTTTCTGCATTCTTGGCAGTAGGGTGTGGAGTCGGGGCATCCGGGTCCCTGGGCAGGATCCGTAGAGGCTGGATGTTGAGTTCCGCAGATGGGGCACACGGCAGCATTTGGGCAGATGTCCGGTTTGTGTCCCAATCGGTGGCAGTTACCGTACGCCACCGCTTTCGGCTTGAACGGGAAGACCCGCATATATATATTGCCGCACAAGACGGACCTCGGCGTCTTTTCTCCATCAAATGTGAGCATTGTCGTGTTAGGCTTTCCCAGTCTAAGAGCAGCGACCACCTGGATATTCTCAGATTCCAATTCAAGGTTCAAGACGTTGTCTTGGGGATCCTCTTCTTTTGAGTAAATGTCGTAGATTACCCCTTTGCTATAGGCGGTTCCGTACGTTCTAAAGACTTGTACAGAAACTGCTTGTCCGCCAACGTCGACCTCGGTTATCTTCTCGAGGGTTTCGGCCAGCTGTTTCGAGACCGTGCGGACTGAAATAGTGTTGGCCTTGTCTAGTAGATGCATTGTGAATGCTGTTGAAACGCTCGAGAGGTGCGTTTTCAGTCTTGGTAGTAAAGGTTTTATCGAGACTTGGGATCGTGTTAGGCGGATCTTGTACTCGAATTGCCAACGCCGGGAGGGCTTGGCCTTCTCAATATTTTGTTGTGTCGGGTCCTCGCGAGCCCGTTTCCTTTTCTTCCTGCTCGTGACGGTGGTGAAGCCGTCCTCTTCTTACGTTTGTTCTGTAGTAGGTGGCGCGGCGGCCGCAGGCTTTTGTGCCGGTAGTGTCTTAGCAGGCACTGAGCCGTCGCCCTGGCTCCCTGCTGGTTGTGGCGTCTTACCAGATATAGGTGCAGCGCCGGCTGGCGCTGGCAGAATTGTTGTTGTGCTGCTTTTCAAGGCTTTCTTAGAAGTCGCAGGCTTGTTCTTCTTCTTCCCCTTGGTAGTTGGCACGATTTCGTGAGATTCTCCAAGGACACTTTTGAAAATATCGATAAGGCTCTCTTTCGATATGCTCGAAAGGAGAGCCCTTAAGACTAGCTCGACAGATGGGGCTGTGCTTGGGACTGTGGAGGGTTCACCAAACTGGAAGACTGTTGAGCACCCCATCGTCGATTTGTTTAGTATTGAGGCTGGAGCAGGTTCTGCTCCCGTCGTGGTAGCGGCGGGACCGGTGTTACTCGCATTCCTCGTGTCCATGGCCTCTGGTTGACCGTGGCTGGTCGATGCGTTGCTCGAAGTCCTGGCCGAATCTTCCGGTTTTACCGAGGGACAATCCCCCGAAGATCCAAAAGGGGGGCCCGAACTTGGCAGCTGGGGGCTGGGCTTAGCGCCGAGCATTTTCGAAAAAGTCGAGAGCTTAAGAAAACACGTCCGATCACATCGGTAGCTTCTTTTTTCTCCCTAAGCTTGACCGTTTTTTACATTCTCGTTTGCTGTTTTGTTTTTCCTTTTCCAGACGATAACGTAATATATTTAACACCCTTCAATAAAACACCAATATACGCCAGAAAGTTATCTTCCACCGTTCATGCTCATTTAATCGGGAAAAAAATGACAGGACGATCCATTGGTGGAACTCTACGGGAAGGCGTTAGCACGACCCTTAGAAACACAACACACATCCCCCTTTGGGAAAAGCTAATGCTGACCCCATTACTTTTTTCTTCTGGCTCTCTCTTTTGCTTCTTCTATTTTTTGCTCCCTTTTTTTGGCCTCGTTACGGGCTCATCGTCAGCGCTCCCAGAGGAGGACGTGTGTGGTGTTCCCCAAGGGTCATGCTAACGGATTCCCCAAGAATCGACGAATGAATCTTCCTGTAATTTTTTACTCTTTTTTGTACTCTGCCTCCTGCCTCTCAGAGCACGTCGACGCCCTTGGATACCGTCATCCATATTACTCGTGGAAAGAACCACATCCATATCACTCGTGGTGTGAACCACATCTATCGGTTTAACTACACACACACACACACACACACACACACACACACACACACACACACGCACACACACACGCATCACAGCCCATGCACCAGTACTAGGGAAACCCAGAGCGAAGGACAACCGGCGACGGCAGAGTGGCAACTAAGCACGCCCGCATTCCACCGCGCCGCGGGACAACACCGCCTGAAACACAAGGCCGTAGCGCTGAATGAAATGGCGTCATCAGAGAAGGCCAACGCTGGGCACAGAATGGACACGACGATTGCGTCAACATTCGGCTCAAACTTGACTCGAAGACGAGCGCTGGCGCAGCATTCGGTTCCAATCTGCGTCCAGGGTTAGCCTTCTCTCATTCAGCCATATCAATCAGCACTGCGGCTTTGTTATCTAAGAGGTGTTGTGCGGTGTCTCCTCCTCTCTGGCTCCGTGCCAGCTGTGAGCGTGACTTTGCCGAAAACGAAAGGGTTCGTTTCACCAAAACCCGGCTGCGTCTGTCAGTTTTTCAGCGCCGGGGAGAGAAGGAAAGGTTGACGCGTGCTCACGCCAGCGCTTCGGACCAATGGGAGCGTCGCACGCGACAACTGACGAACGAAAGACACCGCCGGCTTTTCGTCAAAACGAGCATTATAATGCTAGAGCATTAAAAAAACAGGCGAACACCCAATTCAAACATAATCTTGCATTCCATTTGTTCACTCGTCGACATCGGATACCACGCTCGTACACTAGGATGTACACCGCAGCCTAAAGCTGAAAAACAAGGTGCGCTGAAACTGCTTACACTTGAAAGCAATTAAGTTTCACTTTGCCAGGAACCAGAACACTCAATGCTCCGTCTTAAAGTGTGTCACTTACTCCTTTACAAAAGGAACGAAAACTCTTAAGTTAGAAGACACTGCGGTGCAAACAAACAATCAACATAATATTAATATTGGTTGTTCCCACATGTGACAACTATTTCTGAGTCCTTGTGGCTTCCAATTTTAGGCCGAGAATATTTTCGCTGAATTCACACGGCGTCACTACTCCTCAGGGCTGTCTGTCTGTAGACCGTGGATTCTGTTTTGTAAATAAGTAGCCTCCACAAACGTAGAACAAACACCTCAGTGTCTTTACCAAAGACCGGCATTGCCACTTGTAGCAACTCCTGGGTTGACGTACCACAACCGAGTTTTTCTGTCAGCAGGTCTTCCAAAGAAGGAATTAGCGCTCCTTTGTACTCTTTGCATTTCTTCCGAACCCAGGGGAGAATGTGATTCCGGATCATTCGCTTGCTCACGAGCTTGGGATCCACTTGATACGCCATCAATTCTTTCTTGTTGGAGGGTATCAAAGATTTCACGTACATCCTCCGTTTGTTGTCCCGTTCTTGGCTTTCTTGCTCGGTGCATAAGTTCGATTCCCGAGGCGATTTGCACTTAGCAACCGTGACAAGATGACTGCCTGCAGTATGTTCCTCCTCAGAATCACTTGAGCCATCCGAACTTATTTCAGCCTGAACTGCATTTAGAAGTCGCTGCATATCCTCTTTATGCTGACACACGTCTTGAAAATCGACTTGAGCGTTACTACGTGGTACCACCCGCGCTTGATTCCTGTGGAGCGACTGTGGGCGTGGCAGTTGAGGTGGTGGCGGTGGAACTGGCTGCAGGCCTAGCTCCTGTACTGCAACTGGCTTGCTTCGAAGACGGGGGTCCGCAGGACAGTTCTTCTGCAGAGGTGCCACTCTAGCGAGAGCTGTCGCGGGCTCAATGGGTCGAGGTGTAAGAAGGGCCGTCCTGGGTTTTTTTGCAGGTAAGGATCCTGCCGGAGACTTAGCTAGACATCCACTGCTGCTTGAAGCAGGAGTCCGAGAAACAACCGATGGCGCGATAGGGTTTAGGGCAGCAGTTCCAACCTCTGCCAAAGCTACTTTTGGTGGCTCGGACTCAAAGGGTAATTCCCGCTGGCTATGGCAGTCTTGAGATCCAGAACTGGTTGTACCGTCGGTATTGAAAGTGCTGCCCACGTCGCGTAACAATTTCCCTGGTTGCTTATCCTCGAGGCCGGGTGACGTGGTTACCTTCACAACTTGTGACTGTTCTTGTTTACTCTCAAGGGTCATTGTTTGCGTGCTTTCCTCCAGACGCGCCTTGAGAGAGTCCATCTCATCTTTTTCCTCCAGGTAATCTTGAATATCCAAGAACTTTTCCCTGGCAAAGTTTTCCCGCCTGATGCGGAGGCTTTCCCCACTGTAGAACTCACAGTCGGCGACGCGGTCGTCGTAATGCTCTAAGAAAGCCGTCAGAGACCTTGCGTTGCTGAGGCGGCGAAGGATTTCTTGTTCTTCCTCAGCGGTGCGTCTTGCGCATCGGATAGCCATCTCTCGTTCTCTAGCCTCCCACCGGCGAAGATTCCTTTCAAAACTCGAGTCGGTGAACTCGTCTCTTATTTGCTCCTCACACGGGAAAGAAACGCCGCTTCCCGACATACTGCTCAGATGTTCTCACTTTGTAATATCGCAAAAACTTTATCTTTTTCTTTCGTAAAATAAATACAGGAGAAAAAAAAAACGGCCACTGCTGTTGCAGGTGCTCATGTGCCTGGCGCGAGGCACAGTCGCCGACTAGGGCAGGGAGAACGTGCCCGGCGGGCAGTTCCAGATATGGCAGTTCTTTGATCACCAGGGTAATCTCGATTACCCTGGTGGTTAGTCCAATCGAGACCACCAGGGTAATCTCGAGTGGGCTGGAGAGGGAGATGTGCTCATCGCCTGTTTTGGAATTGTAGGCTGAGAGTATCGGTGTGGATTTTTCTTTGCTTCTCCGCATTGACCCCGCAAGTGGTGACGTCACAATAAAACCCTGTGCTCCAAACAAGCCGTTGGTAGAGTCGTTGTTATGTACAATAGACCCTTTCCGCAATTCAGTGCAACCTGGTGACTCAAGCGGCAGTTGTCTGGAGCATTTTATGGGGCACCGTCACTTTCGCAAGTCAACAGTAAACGAGAATGCACGCTTCACTGTACAGTTCTTTTTTAATCTCTTTCAGTGTCGATGGCGAAAACGATGCCACCAGTCAGAACGAAGCGCCAGCCCACAAGCCTACATAGACGCCTTGATAAAATTCTACACATCAAGGCACTTTGAAGCCGAGGGGGTGCTACAAACAGATTGACTGGGTCCGAGATAGAAATGAACGCTCACGCATCTCTTGCATCCAATTCTCGCTTCACGTCGCGCTAACGTCTGAAATGTACAGGCATCGAATCATCTGCTTAGGAGTATCTTGAACTTCTTCATTCATCACTAAACGGAAGGCCGCCATTAGTATAGCACATATGCCATTTTTCCGATGATGATAGTGATCAAAGATCAAATTCCGGAAAGGGTCTATTGCATGGGGGCTCGATGCGAGTTTAGTATTTGTCTGATAAAAAAGTGAGCAAATTTTGTAATCGTTGTATTTAACCATGGATACCTTTTTATATCGTCTCAGTACCATGCAGTGTTGCGGAGTTGCCACTCCGGAGTTGGAATGATTCCGGAATCATTCCTCATTTTCGGGACCCCGGAATGGAATGGGAATGGAATGGCGGCAACGTTCAGGGGAATGGAACGGGAATGGAATTAGATGCCTTTTGCCCGGAATGGAATGGGAATGGAATGGGCACAATTCTCCTTCTTTTTTTCTTTTTTTTTTTTTACGTTTAGCTATACCGAGTTAGTCAGCGAGTCAGTTGTTCAGAAATAAAATGAGCGGGAAACTGCGAACCTGCGTAAGGCCTTAGCAGACTTATTCGCAAAAGGAAAAAAATTTCAATACAAAAAACAAGTGTCAAAGGAAAGAACAGAGGGGGGAGGGGGGGGGGGGGGCGGCGGTGGCGCCTTTCACCAGTGAAGTTCAACACATATCCGAATGCGTCTGCGCCTGTAATATTGCACGGCTGGTACGTCATCAGCCGACGTGAACGTGACCTGCTCTGGTGATCCGATACCCAGGAAGGAGGCCAGACGTGGCCTCGCTGAGCGGACCCAGACTTCGTACACTTTCGACTCGTCTTGAGCGCGCTGTTTCTCGAAGAGCTCGCACCTGTGCCGGCCATCTCAGGTCGCAATCCACGAAGTCCCTGTTTGAATGATGCTAGGCGAAACTTGAAGACTGCCATTCATGCGTTGGAGGCGGAGAGTCGGCAGGAAGGACCGTCACAACAGGGATGCCACCGTATCGATTTTTCAACCGTAACAGAAGATAATATATGTGCTTCAGGATGCTTCAGGTGGTCCACTTTTCTCGAAAATTCCAAATGCAACTGCCTGCATGGTCTTCAACGAGGTCAGCTACAACGAAAGTATGTATTGTCCTTTCATACAGCAGCGTGGGTAAAGTTTCATGTTCAAGGCAACACCTACAGATTCAAGAATACTGGTTGATCCCACCGTGACGTCATGCAGTGCTGACAGGGGCGCCCTTATTGGACAGGGAAGTGGTGACGTTTTGATGGAATTTATTTTAGAGGTCAAAGTCTTTTCGCATCTTTGGGCAGTCAGACAGGATGCCAGGGAAGGGACCGCGGTCAATCCTTGATGGAACGTTTTTTTAAACCCATTTAGGACTCTTCGTCCGGAACCACTACCTTCAAGGCGAAGTGCCAAGCCTGCGGAAAAGTAATTTCGGGACCAAAAAAAGAAAAGAAAAGAAACTTCTAGTTTAAACTTAAAGCCTCATCGCAGTTGGCGTCTCAAAGAAATTTGAAAAATATATTGTACTATCAGTATTTATATTTGCGTCCTCCCTAAAATGTTGTAGTCTTGTATTTGTATTTCCAAAGACTTTTGCCTCTTTTTAAAATGTATTTCCGATGCGTATCGCGATACATTTTTATAGATATATTTGAGACTTGAGTATCAGTATCTTAGCAACTGTTTTCATCTATCCCAGTATTTGTATTTCCAAATACATTTCTGAATATTTCTGCCCAACCCTGCAACGTAATGCAGCTGTCAAGTGACACTTTCAACGTTTAGGAATTGGAGGAATGGAATGGGAGCGACTCAGCCATTCCAGGAGTGGGAATCGGCCCAGTGTCCCCATTCCTAGGAGTTGAAAGGAATGGAATTATCGAAAACTCTAATTCCCCGGGATGGAATTGGAATGGAATGGGGGTGCCCATTCCGCAACACTGGTACCATGTAGCAATAATGAAAACTCGTAATAAAGTTTTGCGACCGGTTTTGCTGTGCTAGCCACGGCCGGACTGCAAGCGCGCGCTCTCTTTCTCTTCTTACGGCCTTTGCAATCGCCCGGGAGTCAATGGCATTTTTTTCTCCGTATGTAGTTCACTTGCTTGCCGCCAGGGGCGCCACCACCTCACCCCACTTAAAGCCCCTTGATAAAGGCGTTTTTTACAAGTACCGCCAACCATTGTTGTGGAACCGCGCGAGACACGTGCCACGAGCGGGTGCTCCGCCGCCATTCGCTTCCTAGGGCCGCTCATTTCAGTGCTGCGCCGCCATTCGCTTCCAAGGGCCGCTCGAGACGCGAGTCTCGTGCACTCGCGCATTTGACGCTACTTGCACGACAAACGCAAACATATCGAGGGGCTTTAACCCCACTCCACCCCACTCGAAGAGTCCCTTCGAGCTGCTTTGCGCTGGTGTTCGAGCTTCGTAGGTTGTTGTTTTGGGAACGGTTTATTAAGCTTCGCTCCGATTTAAGTCACTCTACCGCGTACAAATGTGCACGAAGTTCTGCAACTACTCATTGCACCCCATCTTGAAGATGCGCAAATCCTAAGTGGCCCAGAGGGCATTGACAACAGTCACTCAAAGCGCTTGGCTTGTTTAATTTGCAACAAGTTCCGCAGAATACTTCTAATTAACCATGCAAAGACTATCACGGACAGAAAAGAAAAATCGGCTGGATATCTGCACAAGCCCTCGAGGAAGCACTTAAAGGAGCTGTGCAACAATTTTTGTACTTTGCGCAAATACCGCTTAGAACAGATCCCTGACGTTAATGACCTATGAAACACGCGTTCGTTTTTCACTTCACGCAATAGAAGTCCCAGAAGAAAATTAAAGAAAAACGAGCAGCGTTCACCCCCTCAACTCGCAGCCAGAACAAGCGGCCACGCGATCTGGAGCCGATTATATGCCGCCAGTGTTGATCATAGCCACGCGCTGGTGTTGGCAAAGCACAGGACACGCGCTGAGTTCCAGACATTGTTATGGCTCGGCTATTGTCGTCGTTGCAGCGATTGGACGCGGGCGACTACCCGAATGCTTCTCGAGCTAGTAATTATCACGAGCCCAAATCGAGTGTCCACGCAGGGGCTCGGGTCCAGTCTATGAACCGCATTCAAATATCGTCACTTGGGTGTCCTGCGAACCCCACGTTACGTCATCAAATTCTGCAAAGGAGAGATTGAACGAAAATAATTGCTTTTGTCCTTGAAATGTCACCGCAACAAAGGAGTTTCTTGGCCGTAGCGTTGCGTGCGAGTATCCTTGAGTCCCAGGTGTGCCAGTAAGCTCGTGTCAAGTGAAAAACATTCCAATTAAATATCGTTGCACAGCTCCTTTAAAGGGGTACCCCGCCGATTTCTTCATGGTCCCCGATTTGCTTGAAACTTTGCTAAACTGGCCAAACAACATCGCAAAAATAGTATCCCGAATATTAGGTCAAAATAATTTGTTTTCGCGAAGTTATTGAATTTACAATTTTGGTCCTCACCGTGCTTTTCAAACTGAAAGTCTCTACTGGCAACAATGAAAAAGTGACGTCAGTGGAAGTGCAGGGGTTCACTCTTGGACTGTAGAACTTGTTCCCAACTGATTCGAAGCAGTTTCATGGTGTCAAATGAATGCTTTGGAAGCTCGCTCCAGTCCCCGCGCTCCAGCACGGAACAAATGATTGGCATATTCTATTTTTTAGACTGCTTGCTCGACTGGCAAGCTTACCTTCCACTGACGTCACGGCCTTGAAAAGGGCGGGTATATTTGAATGTTTGTTTTGCATCATTTTCATTTGCCGATTTCGCAATAACTATTATGAATTTCACGATACTAAATAGCATACCAGAAAGGGTAAAGGCCGCGGAGTCAGAAAATGTAGTTAGTTGAGGTAGCTCAAAAATCGGCGGAGTACCCTTAAGGCTGTAATATGCACTGTGCGAAAATTGTACAGATTACTACACCCTCGTCTAGAGCAGCTGACCGACTTCATGTGCGGCCTATATGAAATGATGCAGACCACGGCAATAGATAGATTGGGCCTGCTTACATTTCACGAGAGTGTTCCAATTATTTATTATATAAAGTTCCTGCACCTAGAAGGGGTTCGTGTCCTCCTGTTCTTAAGTTGCAACAGAAGTCCTGGAGT